CGTGGATTATTGGTTCTGTCACAATAGATGCCAGTATTCCGATGAGGGGACTCAAATCTACCCATGACATGTTTGAATACCTTAAAAAGGTATATCAGCAATCAAACATGTTTAGGCAATATCAGATTGAAGTTGATATCTTTTCTTATGCTAAAGGAGAGAAACGGATTCAAGAATATTATGTTGGGTTTGTGAACCTTAGACTGAATATGAACTGGCTCACTTTGGGGGACTTCTTGACAGACTGTTGTGTGAAAACTATGAAGAAACACCTTAGTAAGAGAAATATTATGCACCTTAGATCTGATTATGAAACATTGCGCTAGTATACTCAACAAAGAGCCTATACCTGATCTTGACATAATACTTGGAGAATTATTAAGATAGGAAACTCATCTCCACACTCAGTCAGCACTTGATCAGAAGAAGGAACAGGGAATAGATACCGTCTTCTTGGCTACCAAATAGAAGGGGGAGAAGGAGTTCTCGAAGATGCAATGCTATGAATTCAAGGAATTTGGACACATGGTATCCCACTACAAGGAGAAAAAATTCTGCACCTACTACAAACAGTAGGGACACATTATAGTAGAATGCCCAACCAGGCCCCTAAGAAAGGACAACATAAGGCTTATCAAGCCTTAGCTAAACCGACTCCAATTGATACTGCTTCCTCCTCATCAACTCACAAAACTAATTCATAGGGAAATTTGATTGAAGGTAAGATTTGTGAGCTTATGTCCTTGGCTATTTCCTTTGCTTTTTCTGCTATTAGACTAGTTGGTAAGTTTGCTTATTTGTGTTTTCCTCCTTCACACATGTGGATTATTGACTCTGGGGCCTCAAACCACATGATTGGGGCTTCCTTTGGTCAGTCTTCTAAACCCTACACTTCTGTTAACCACATTATTACTAATAATGGTGATTCTCTTCCTATATGTGGGTGTGATGATTTATTTCTATCCACTTCTGAGTCTACACTCTTACATCTTCCCAAAACCTCTTTTGTGCCTAAGTTGACTACTAGTCTTATTTTTGTTGGACAACTTGTTGATGATGGTAATAATGTTTTGTTTACTCATGACAGTTGTTTTATCCAGGATCAGCACATTGGGGAGCTAAAGAGGAAGGGGCGTAGGCTTGGGAGACTATTTGCCTTGGAATTTGATAATAAGCGAGCTTCATTAGACTCTTGTTTGTTGTCTACTACTTCTAGTTTTTCTTCTACATTTTGTAATAATGTGTGGCACTTATGGCATAAACATTTAGGCTACACTCATGCTAAAAACTTGGATTATTTATTTTCTTCTGGTTGTTTGCTTATAATTGTTGCTTCATTTAAGAATGTTGATAAATCTTGTTTAACTTACTACTATAGTAAAAGTCATGTTTTGCTTTTCCCATCTACTAAACATGCTTCTACACCTTTTTACCTTATTCACAGTGATGTTTGGTCGTCTCCGGTTATTTCACGCTTGGATATAAATATTTTGTGTTGTTTATTGATGATTGTACTTGATACACATGGGTTTACTTTCTTCGAAAGAAATCAGAAGTCTTTCCCACATTTAAGAACTTTCATGCTATGGTTATGACCTAGTTTAAAAGCACTATAAGCATTTTGAGGTCAGATTCAGGGGGAGAATACTTTGATGGTGAGAATGGTGAGTTTCAAACCTATTTCAAACAACATGGCATTCAGTCCCAGAGATCATGCCCAGGTACACCTCAACAAAATGGGGTATTTGAGTGCAAGAATTGTCACATTGCTAGTATGGTGAGATTCTTGTTACAAGACTCCCATGTTCCCATTACCTTTTGGGTGGAGGCGACCTGCACTGTTGTTCACCTCATAAACATTCTTCCCACTTCTATTCTTGGAAAATTTTCTCCCCATCAATCCTTATTTCATCGTCCGCCAAATCTTCCCATGGTTCGTGTCTTTGGTTGTGTCTGCTTTGTCCATCTTCCTCCCCATGAATGCACAAAACTAATAGCTCAATCTGCTATATGTGCATTCATGGGATATGGTATGGAACACAAGCTAATAGTTTTGTGCATCTCTGTAATGTCATTTTTCTTGAGAACCTTTCATTCTTTGAACACATTATTAAGTTGCCTACACCATCCTTTTCTATTCTGCATCATTTTGGCTCTACAGGTGATCCTCCCCTACATCTTGGCCACTTCAAGTTTATTCCAAGAAGCATCTAGCTCGCTCATTGCCTATGCCTCCACCTCCAGCACCAGTGACTAGTCATTCCTCTCCATCCTTCACTACTGTAAGTTCCTCTTCTCATCCTGTTGATTTGCCTTCATCTGTTCCTTTGTGTGGATTGTCTCGTATTTCTCGCCTACCTGATCGCTATTGCTTCTTTTCCAGTTATAGCTCATTTTCTATTGTTTTGTCATCCACAGACATTCCTAAGTCTTACAATCAGACTGTAGCGATTAAGCATTGGAATGATACCATGAATTCATAGGTTTAGGCCTTATTGGAGAATGATACCTGGGATCTTGTCTCTCCTTCCCCAGATGCCTCCATCATTGGTAGTCGATGGGTTTACTCAATGAAACTCAAATTAGACGGTACTCTAGATGGATATAAGGCCCGTTTGGTTGCTTAGGGCTGCAAGCAAGAGTATGAGATTAACTATGATGAAACTTTTGCCCTAGTGGATAAAATGACAACTGTCTGTTTACTTTTGGCTATTACTGCTCTTAGACAATAGACAATAGACAATTTATCAGATGGATGTCAAGAATGCCTTTCTCCATGGACATGGCTTATTTTTCTCATCTTCCTCCTTTACTCAACTTCGAGCTTATGTAGATGTAGATTTGGCAGATTGCCCTGACACTCGTCATTCTACTACTAGCTAGTGTATATTTCTTGGTGATTCTCTGATTTCCTGGAAATGCAAGAAACAACAAATGGTTTCGAAGTCATCTACTGAAGCAGAATACGGAGCAATGTCCTTAGTATGCAGTGAAATAGTTTGACTCAAGGCTTTACTTCATAATACGGACATTGATCACTCATCCGCCATTCTACTACTAGCTGGTGTATATTTCTTGGTGATTCTTTAATTTATTGGAAATGCAAGAAACAACAAACGGTTTCCAAGTCATCTACTGAAGCAGAATATGGAGCAATGTCCTCAGTATGCAATGAAATAGTTTGACTCAAGGCTTTACTTCATGATACGGACATTGATCACTCATTTGGCATCCCCCTTTTTGCTGACAACATGAGTGTGATCAAGATCGCATCCAAACTGGTATTTCATGAGCATACTAAACATATTGAGGTGGATTGTCACTTCATTCTTGACCTTCTCCTTGTGGTTCACATCTCTCTCCCACACGTTTCCTCGGGCCTACAGCTTGTAGATCTCTTCACCAAATTTATGACCAAAGCCCGACATAATTTTCTTATGGACAAACTGATGTTTGTTCCCCAACATCAGTTGGAGGGGGAATGTAGAGAAGATGGAGGGTAGTTATGTAATTTTATCTTTTCTTTCTTGTAATCTAGTAGGCGTTTACATTCGTGTACAACTCTTTTTTTTTTATTTCTTTTGTAAGGACAACTTTATCCATTCACTTTCTTAATATAAATTGGGTTGGTTTGATCATACTGATCAACCCTAACAGATCTGAACTCTTGGCTTTCCCTCTTGTCTCTTTTTTTTCTTACAGATTAACATTAAGTAGTGGGACAGTACCTAGGCTCCACAATTCTGAGTTCTCTTTCAGTTTCTTCTTTCCTCTTCTCTTCTTCCCTTATTTTTTATAGGTATGTTTTCTTTTTATTGCTGGTTCTTGATCAGATTATTGAATCTGATTATTACAAGTATAATAGCAAAAATGGTCCATCTTTTCATTCTTTTTAGATTACAAATATTTCTCATGAGTCCCCCGTAGTCTTGGTTGACCATGTAAACCCTTAATGACAGAAAACCTATCTCATTGTAGGTTTTATAGCCTAAATTCTTGAACATAATATCTTTTTCAATGCTTTAAATTCATAAAATAGAAATATTTCTCATCAGACAAATAAACCTATTTACATAATTAACATTCAATGTATTCTATATTATTCTAGTTGAAAAATTAAGAGAAAATATCTTTGATGCTGAGCCTAAAGCTGAGTAAAGGAAGCAACAATCATGTTTTTGTCTAGGCCTGTATGGATGTGGCAGCTATTAGGTTTCAACAGGCCCATGTAAAATGAGTCAAATACAGTAGGTTCTAGTCACCTGTCCAGTTACCAAGAGCAGTGATGTGCCCCATAGGCTCCACAAGGATTTCTTATGTGTAATATTCCTGAAAAAGAAATATTCTACGAATTTGATTAGAGTTATTGGTCCTAATATGGAGATTTTATTTGTTGTCAAGTTAGGAGATCTTAGGAAATAGCTAGGGATCTAAAAAAATATTTAGTTTCCTATTAATTTTAGAAGCCAGTAATCTCTTAAGTAAATATTCCATCCTATGAATTTATAAATAGGCATGAAACTTTTGTAAGAGGATTAAAATATGGATTTGATGAGCACTTTTACTTCTTTCTTTTCTGCAGACTTCAGACATTTTTGAAGGTGCTGACTCCAAACTATTAGGTGCTGGCTCCTCGAGACACCTAGGAGCACTCCTAGTTTTATTTTTTATTTTATTTTTTCCATCTATTATTTTATAGATCTATGTTAGATCTGATTTGGATTTGTGCCTATACATTATATAACTATATCTGCATTTCAATGTTGTGAGTCTGGTCATGTATTGCTTTGTTTACGTTTAGTGTTTACTTACATTGTCATTTTGAACCACATTATTATCTACTTCTATCCATTTAAATATTTATATCATCTTATTTTATCAACCTCTCTATTTATTTCTTATTTCTATTTCTATACTGTTTGTGCTTTCTAGTTATGGGTCAATCATTTGGGATCATAAGTCAAGATACTTACTGGTTCTTGTTTTATTCTTTCTTTCAGGTCCATTCAGCTGATAAGATTCTTGAACTTTTAAATTTAGGAAACAGTAGGCGGAAGATGGAAAGCACAGATGCCAATGCAACATCTTCACGGTGAATAAGCAATTACTGTGTTCCCAATCTCAGTGGATTTTTTCTTTTTGCTTCATGGGGCTACATAATGGGGGGGTATCCCATCCCCCTCCCTTAACCCCCCCAACCCTGGCGGCAGCGGGATTTGATCCCAAGTCTCTACTCTGATGAGCCAGAGAACCTACTAACTGAGCCACCATCAGTTGGTCTCTCAGTGGTTGCAGAAGCTTGTTTGTGACATGGGTTAGTGAGCTTATCTGGGAAGGATTCTATAGCTAGGAGCTGTTTGATAACAACTGAAGTGGCTGAAAGTAGAGTTTATTGTATTGTCTTTTAGTAAGTTTTTAAGGAAGTTGTGGGCATCTTAATGGCTGAAGCTGAAGTTGGGTAGATTAGTATACCCTTGAGTATTTTATTATTTTAATTATTTTATCCACTAAAAAACAAAGCAATAAGTCATTCAGTTTAGCAACTTCAGCTGTTATCAAATGGCTCCTTGGTACAACTACTCACTGAAACCCGGAAACTAGTTCAATTATCCCATTTTTAGGTTTCATTTCATGTGCTGCTTGTTCTTGCCTGACACATGTATATTTCTTATTTTGTTCTTTTTTGGATAATAAAGGTTAAAATCTTATTAGAAAGAAAAGATGAAAACTATACCAAGTGTTCAAATACAACATCAAGTCCTCAGGAAACTCCAATGATTTTTTCTTTCTTCCTCTTTGCTTCTGACTGGATCCTCACTTGCATGATCTGAGCTGTAATCATTGCTAAATGATTCAGTGGATCTCTTGTTTACACCCAACCACCCTGCTGTCTCCTTATTCTCTACTTTTCTTCAAGCCACCTAAACGTTGCGGTGTAGTTCCTTACCTCCCAAGAAAAATATTCCTAATGTCTTGGCTATCTTAACTTCATTAGCCAATGCCTTGAATTATGAGCCTTGCATATTTGTACCTCTTTGTCATATTCCTAACTATTCTTGTACTCTATACTTCCTGAATCATCTTCCTCCCTTTATTCCATGTCACACTTATGTAAGCATGTTGCATGGGAGAACCCTTGTTAGCTTCCTCCCGTGACATGGTCCTCACAAAGTGTTCAACCTTATTCATCACTATATAGGTGCTCATCTCCCCTTAATGATAAGTGGAACCTTACTACACTGAAGCTTGATCATCACTTCCCCCTGATGTCACACCTTCTTCAACCTCTTTAGACAGTACAGAATAGGGCCAGGAGTTGTGTGTCTCTTCAAGTTAGTCACCAGAATCCATCCCAATGATGCCTCTCTCATTGGCGGTGACCTATGTCAAAGGAAACATATTTTTTCTTCCCTTGCCATTGTTACACATTCTTTAACATTCCTCTTAAATCCTTAAAAATCTCTAATTTATGTTCTAATGTTTGGTGGGCCTTTAAGTGAAGTGGGCTTATAATAGTCTTACAAAGGTCCAACACAGTCCTAAGTGGGATCAGGGCCCCTGAATTAGATGAACTCCCTAGCCCAACAGTGAACATCTCCTTGATTGACCCACATATGGGCCTAGCACTTGACCAATTCATATTAACCAGCCTGATATCCACATTAGGGATGGAGCCCCCCAAAGACATTTGGAAGCTTCCAGATTTGGAAACTACACATGTACAATTTGAATTTTCTTCATTCCACATCAGATTCCAGAAACTCCTATTGATTCTCAATTGTGTTGGTACCAGTTGGATTGACATTGACCAAAGGCTCAACAAATTGGATAACTTCCATGCCAAACCTCTTCACCCAATGTACCACCCTGAAACCTACTCCTTTGACAATCTCTCTGAGCCAGTTGATGCAAGAATCAATGGAATGCCCTCATCTCAAGTGTCGGCTGCTCACTTAGATGATTAGGCTTCGAGCCTCCAGGATTAGGCCTGAAATGATCTTGTCAATAGACTGAACCTTAGCTTACCCACTCAATCACATCCCATGGCCACCCTTAGCATAGTGCCATAGTTACCTTATGTTTATCACCAACTCCAAATTTTTGGGAATGTCACCCAAATACCTCCTCAAAATTACCAGTCCAAGTGAATCCACCAATCTCCAGCTTAGGTTCTCTTTTATACCCCATAGCATCACCAATCTCCTTAAAAGTTGCACAATACCAAGTGTTCAAAAGAACCTTGGTGATTCTCACCTACCATTGACCAAAATCCTTCATTGCCTGAATCCTATCCAGAGATGGAGACTTCTATAGTTCTAGCTTGTAGCCATTGAAAATCCATAAATGGAAAGAACAAACTAAGAAATAAGAAACAAAAGAGAGATATCCTTATTTTGTTTCTTTGCATCTTCTAAACTGATTTTTTTTATTGGCATGAATGTTTGAGGTTCCAAACATTGTGTTTTTTTGACTGGTAACAATTGATAAAATGTCTTTCTTTCTGGATCATTATAATTTCTTTTAGTAAGTTTATCTTTTGGAGAAAACTATTGGGTGCTGTTTAGGAAATTTGACCTCTCCCAAATTTTCAGATGCTATATCAATGTCACACAATGTGTCATTGTTGATATTGTGATTTCTATACAAGGTTGCCTATTGAAACCCTCTAATACAAAAATAATTGGTTTGTTCTAACAGTTCACATGCTGTTTTAGAGATTACTGTAAGAAGGAAACAAAGAAATCAATACAGGAACCATATTGTCTGTGGAAAACTTGCACTAGTTGATCTTGCTGGCAGGTAAAGTACACATTTTTGCTCCCCTTTTTATTTATTATTTTTATTTTTTTCCTGCTACAATTTGGTCCTGTTTCAAATGGGGTTCTATAAATGTTATATTAAACACTTCTGTGCAGTGAACGAGCTTCTGAGACAAACTGCAGAGGTCAAAAGCTGAGGGATGGTGCCAATATTAACCGTTCACTTCTTGCTTTGGCAAACTGCATTAATGCTCTGGGGAAACAACGGAAGAAGGGTCTGGCATATGTCCCTTATCGCAATAGGTATTATCTTATATTTGGATATTTTTTCTTTTTAGAATGGAACTCTCTTTGCAAGCATAGCTAATGTCTGGATATTTTCAGCAAGCTGACACGGATTCTTAAAGATGGTCTAAGTGGTAATTCACAAACTATCATGATTGCAACAATATCACCTGCTAATAACCAGTATCACCATACTGTGAATACTCTGAAATATGCTGACCGAGCTAAGGAGATCAAGACACACATCCAGGTCTGCAATCTGTCATTTAATTATATAAAACATCTTCAGCATTTTAAGAATGGGTGAAACATTTGGTTGGATTCCTGATTCATGCTTTATGGCAAGGACCCATATTACATGAATTTATAAGTGAAGATTGCAATTTCTTGAGAGCAATCAGTACAACTTCTGATTCATGCTCTTTGATCACGAAACTCAGGAAAACTCCTCCCTCCTTTCCTTACAAGGTCTCCCTCCCCCATCTCCTAGACAAGCATATCTGGGCCTTAACCTCCATTGGCTCTTTCTCCACTAAATCTTTTTCCATCAACCTTACTGCTGGCTCCCTGACTCCTGCCTTCTCAGTTAAAAGAATTTGGCCTCTTTCTCCACTAAATCTTCTTTCTCTTGGGTGACTTCTGGTCACCTTCCTTGTATGTCTCTTTTTATTTTATTACCAATAAAAGATGCCTCGCGTGGAGTTGCTTCTGGTGTGTATTTGCATGTGTCCATGAGCCTATTTGCACCTCTACTTCTTCCACAAGATTGTTTTTCATCAACACTACTGCCTTGTGGTTCCTGAATTTAGACCTATGTTAGCATTCAATTGAATTCATTTTGCAATTTTCAAGTTTTAGCTGGTTCTCTTTAGTTGCTTTTTCTTACCTTGTTTCTTCTAGTAACCAGATTGGTATTTACTACGACTGCTATAAAGGTCACTAAGATAAATAATGGAAATATTTAGTGTTGTTTTTCCTTTAGGAAGATTGAGTTGAGTCTTTAGGTCGTACTAGTGGTGTGGGTGTTCTCTACTTGTCTTGTTACTCTCATTCTATTGTATTTTGTTTTCTTTGTTGATAGCTTTGTATGCATTTTTCTTTCTTTTGTTTATCATTCTTATGTACTCCCTCTCTTCAATAGCATCCTCTTTTATTGATTGAGAGTGATTTTTTTCCAGACAAATATTGGCACTGTTGATATCCATGTTGCAGATTATCAGAAAATGATTGATAGTCTTCAGGTAAGCTTGGGAAGGGTTTTTATCTGCCATTTTATTTTGGGGATCAATCATGTTGTATCAGATCATAAGAATCTGATTATGCAGATTGAAGTTTTCCGGCTGAAAAAGGAATTAGCAGAAAAAGAATCAAAACTAAGTGTAAAACCGAATGAAAAAGCAATTGATGATCAACTCTCTTGGTTGGATGTTTTGAGCCGTGAAACCAATGAAAGCGTACAGGAACGGATAAACTTGCAGAAGGCTTTATTTGAGCTTGAAGAAATTAATCTTCGTAACCGCATTGAGCTCCAGCATCTAGATGATAAAATTACAAATGAACAGGTCATTATTGCCATTACTCATTGAATCAGTGGTTGATTTTGACCATCTTTCATGCTTTTGATCTTGCCAGTATCAGTATTTTTCACTTGGAGCTATTTGAAGTATACTGCAATAAGGAATATTAAGAATTCTCTTTCCTGTTTTTTTTTTTTTTTTTTTTCCTTCAAGTCTATGTGCTGAGCATTTGTTTAGGATTTTGATATGCCTCAGAAAAATGCAAGAGGTATTATATATAGGATTCTTAAAATATGCTTCTGCCTCTACTGACAATAGTCATTAAACTTTGAACTTGGATGTTAGGAATGAATAATGTTGTAATCTTTTTTCGAGACATGGTCATAAAGTTCAATCATAATTAGAAATTTAAGCTTAAAATTTCTGGGTAATTCCTTTTATTGATGAACTACCATCTCCTAGGCCATAGGAAAGGATGGGACAATTTTACAAGCTTTAAGAGAAAGGAGACAAGTCATTCTTGATAACATCCGTGATAATGATGAGGCAGGGGCCAGCTATCAAAAGGTGTTATTCCTGTTAATTATGTGGCTCATAAGGATCAGTTTTTCCAATTTTTATCTACTAATCTGGTTGTTCTTTCTATTTTCCTGCAGGAAATTGAAGCAAATGAGAAGCACTTCTGCCAACTTCAAGATATGATAGAGAAAGCCATTAGTAATAATAGTAACAAAACCTACTTGCATATTCTCAATCAGTACAGGCTGTTGGTAAGTAGAAATGAAACAATAAGACCATCCAATCTACATATTGTGAAACCTGTTGTTCTCTGCTTGTCTTTATGCATGTTTGTGTATACTTTTATATACATTTTATGTATGTCTGTCTACACGATGTATGGACATATGTATGTATTCATGCGTGAACAGATGACTATGTCCATACACTTTACGATCCCTGTGCTTGTGTGTGCATATGCATTTAAGTGAGGTTTCTGGTCTTCTTAGTGGAGTTCATGGTAAGTTCGTTTATACCAAAACTGATTCGTCAACAAAACATATCATATCTGAACCTTTGGAGTAAGGTAATATATGTGTTCACATTATATAACATATGTATTTTCATTCAAAAGAAAAGGAAATTATGCCATTTTTGTACATTAGTATTGAAGATAAAAAAACTTGTATCGTCTTTTCTCCTCTCAGTTGAGGGATGGATGTCTCTTACTAGAAGCCTACTCTATGCCATTCATCACATTGATTGAATATAGACAAACATACAGGAGGGGTGATTTTTTCATGAAAAAATGATCAAGAGAGAGAGAGAGAGAGGAGAGGCTATGGATGTTTGGTTTGGAAAGAGATGCTCTATGGAGGAAAGTAGTGGCATGTAATTATGGGGTGGTAGGTTTTGGGTGGGACACTAAGGAGGTGAAGTCCTCTTATGGAGTACGTTTTTGGAAAGGAATAATGGATTTTCAGTTAGCCTTCCTTGATTTTGTCTCCTATAAGATTGGAAGTGGATCGGCAATAAAGTTTTGGGAAGATGATTGAAGGGTATTGGAAAATTGTGTGATTTGTGCCCATGTTTATAACACTTAAGCAAAAGAAAATCCTCTATTGCAGAAAAATTTGAAGTGATTCATGCAAGGGTGGTGTGGAGTCCAAAATTCAAAAGACCTTTGTTGGACTAGGAGATTGGGGACTATGTAGACTTTCTTCGAAAATACATTCCAAAATTCAAAAGAGAACCCTCTTGGTTGTTTTACTTGATGTTTTTTTTAATAATAATTTCTGTTACTAATAAAAAAAATCTCATTGGAACGCAAAATAATATTTTGATCAAGTCTACTTTGTCAAATTTACCACTACACTATTTGTCAATGTTCAGGATTCCACAAAAGGAGGCTAGGAAGATTGAGAAATTAGTGAGGATTTTTTATGGGAACTAGGAGAAGAGAAAAAGGATCATTTTGTTCATTGGGAGATGGTGATTAGAAGTCTTAGGAGGGAGGAATAAGTGTGATCAATGTAGACCAGAAGAATTTAGCTTTATTGGGAAAGTGAATTTAGCTTTGTGGCATATGGTTATAACTGGTATTCATGGCAGAATGGATTAATGGACTACCCTTGCTTCACCTTGGAAGGTTATTCATGATATTCTCCATTAGTTTCCTAGATTTATTAGGTATGTTGTGTGTGTTCAGGGGATGCTATCAAATTTGGGAGGAGAGTGTCTAGGTTGGTTCTAATGCCCTTAAGGTTTTATTCCCTTCTTTGTACTTTGTGTCTTGTATAAAAACAAGAGAGTGCTGGATTTCATTGCTCCTCTTATACTTTGGGTCACAGTTGGGATTTTGGTTTTCGAAGAGGTTGCTGAATTAACTAAGTTGAATGGGTTGTTACAACTTCTTGATTCAATTTATCTGGATCCCTCTAAACTGGACAGACATATTTGGACTCCCCACCCTAAGGGCAGCTTTTCTCGTGCCTTCTTTTTTTTAAGTCTCTCTATTCATCTTCTCTTCCCTAGCATTTCCTTGTTAAGGAAGTTTGTTATTGGCTTGTTCCACCAAAGATAGGAGCTTTTTTGTTGGGAGGTGTTTTATGGGAAGGTTAATACTCTTTGGACATGTTACAAAAAGGAAGACCCTCTTTATGCTCATCACCAAATTGATACATTATTTGTAGATCCATTGGAGAGAGTTGTTACCACTTGCTAATATCCTGCCCTTTAGCTACAGATATTTGGGAATGGTTTTTCTCTTTGTTTGTGCACAGGTGGACTTCGCCAATAGAGGTTGGTAAGATTTTTGACCCTTCTACTTTTGTTTGAACTAAGAAAAGAGGCATGATCATGTGGAGAAATGTATGAGCTGGGAAGAAAAGAATGCTAGAATCTTTTCAGAGAAGGAGAGAGGTAAGGATAAGGTAAGATATTGTGATATGATGAGAATAGTTCACTGGGTAAGAACTTTGGACTCTTTCTCGCATGTTTATTTGGAGAAACTAGGGGATGGTGGCTAGAAGTTACTCCAGAAAGGAAAGAGTTAATGTCATTTGAAAACCTCTGGTGGGAGACTTTGTGAACTTGAACTTTGATGGGAGTAGTCAAGGCAACCCAAACCCTTCAGGTATAGAAGGGGTGTTGAGAAATAGAGAAGAATTTGCCATTGCTTTATTTTCGGGTCCAATGGGAGTGGGGGATTCCATAAGGGTGGAGTTGCTTGTTGCATTGAAAGGGATACAACTTGCAAGTGAGTTAAGCTTGATAATTGTGGAGATTGAAAGAGATTCAAATTTGGTGGTTGGTTGGCTAAAGGAACCGGAGTCTGTAACTTGGAAGTTTAGGGAGGAGATCAAGAAATTTAAATGGCTTGCTAGAATGAGTTTGAGAATAAGTAGGGTAAGGAGATCAGCAAATGAGATGGTGGATGCATTAGCTAAGAAAGGGTTAAATAGGGATTACTTGTATTGGGCTCAATTTTAATTGTTTTTTTTCTTGTATTATGCTCTATAATTTGTGAGAGGTACCACCTTGTGCCTCTCTTTAGGGTGCCTATAATGCCTATACTTTTGATAAATAATAAAATTTCACTTTATTTATAAAAAAACATACATCTACTTCCTCAAAGAAATGCTAAATTTATCATTAATAAAATACTCAACTGTTGCTTATAAAAAGAATTTCTAATTATGGACGTACTCTTAATATTTGGTCTGAATAATTAGTAAGAAAATTATTAGAAATGAATGCATACTGAATTCATTTCGTTTATTGATTACTGAAATATTTCCAATACCTGATCTACCACCCCCACTAACTTTAGGGAAATATTCCACCTTCTCTTTATTAATGCAACTTGACCAAGGTCTATTCCCCTTGGTTTGGTTAGTTCCACTATATTATTGTGCCTGACATCATTAGTTTTACCTCCTTTTAAGGTGGCTTTTGTGTCATGTCTCTTGTTTTAGGAGATTTGACTTTTATTTTCTTCACTTTTTCCTCCATTAATGCTGGTCTTTGTCTTCCTTCTAAACAAACCACATTGACCTCATTATAACCATGTAATTACTATTTTAGTACTGCTATACATGTAGGAAATGGCCAACACTGAGCTCCAGTTTGAAATGGCAATACGAGATCAAGTGATTCACAACCAACGGGAAATGCAGAGGAACCTGTGGAACCTGATCATGGGGTTAGGAATTGATGAGAGACAGATAATGAAGCTTGCTTTTGAGCAAGGAATAACAATAGAAGATTGGACGGTGACACCCCTTTGGGGGCTATCCAGTATGAAGTAGTGTCTTACTTCAGGATGCAGTAGTTCACTTTTGTGTTCTTGTCCTGGCATCAGAAAGTCTTGCTATTCAACATCTTGCATCTTCCAACAAAACCAATATATTGGTGTTTGGTCATGTTTCAAGGAGCACTCTAACTGTGCTCATACTGTGTGTAGGGATGAGCACCATTGCTCCTAGTCAAGGTTTAAAATGTCGATGTCGGTGGAAATATCGTCACCCAAATATAGGAGACATGTAGAGATATCGTATGGAAATATTGTAAAAATTATAGACATGGTGGAAACATTGTAAAATATGCAAAATACAGATTGATATTTTATGCAATTACTAAAGAAGCATAGGTACAATTTTTTAAATTATTATCCTGTTCCAAATCATTAAACAAAGCTAAGAAACTAAGGCCATAGGCAAAAGAATATGTGAAGTTGTCCTCTAAACCTTAAGATTCAAAACTACATGATAGAATGGGTTAAATCAAAATTTAAACTCATAGAAAATGTAACCTAATAGATCAACCAAATAATCTATTACACAAACAAAAACTAATATTTTACTTCATGTTTGAATTGAATATCAAGTTGGTTCAAAGTGGTAATCAAGTTAGGTGGGCAATAATATTGCTACTCCACATTTCTACAATATTGTTACCATCTTATGTTATAATACTATTTCTTGTACTCCACACTGGTAGTGTTCATTAGGGAATATGCTGATTCCAATTAAATTTTGTGTCATTATCCATGGAAATGGAAATATTTTGTGAAAAGCATCTCTTGTAGTCCCCATAGTGCTGGTAGTGTTCATTGAAGAATATGTTGGTTCCAATAAAATTTCATTTCACTACCCATGGAAATGGAAATATGTCATGGACATATTAGGAAATTTAGGGACATTTTAAACCATGCTCCTAGTGAAGGGATGGGAGATCCATCATATGGAATGGCCAAACCATGTAGGGTGGTTGGGCAAAATTTCAAAAATTTTTTCTCCCATTCGGGAATCCTATTCCTTAATTTAGAAAAACTGCATTTTTCAAGGTTCGTTCTTGAAACAAATCAGACCAAATCTGAAACCAAGATTAGGGAGAGGAATACCTGATACGGAATCCATGCAAAAGCTCCTCCCAACGTAGGTGTTCACGCACAAAGAGGTTACCAAAGTTGCCTCTACTGAAGATGACATAGCGAATGTTGAAATAGGATCAACAAGAAGGGTTCTTCAGCAAGAACATGTGATTCTTCAGCAAGAATCGTGTAGGATTGTGTGAGCACGACTTCAGATTGTTTCTTCACCAAGAAACAATATCAAAAACAGTTTTTGATCACTCCAAGAGGTGGAGATCGAACTAGGCAGGACAACAAGAGCAGAGGGATAAAAAGATTGTAGAAAAGAAGTGATCTTTTTGTAGAATTCGCCCCCTTATTTATAACCTTCCCTGGATCAACTTCCTAATCCAATTAGAAATGAGTTTCTTAATCCAAATTTGATATTTGGATTTGGACTCTCAAGTGAATAAGACTTATCTTATCCAACTACTAATTCTAATCAAATTATAATCCTAAATTCGCCCATTTAATTAAATCACTTAAGCCCAGTTCGAAATGGGCCTTAGGCCCATTAAGTCACACTGTTCACTTTACCCTTTAAATGCTGGCTAGTTTGGCTCTCTTTGTATGGTGTGGGACCCTAGCATTGATTTACACATCAACTACATGGGTTCAACCTAGCATTTGTTACAAGGCCTGATCGAATTCACTACAGAACACAGTGAACCCCTGAGTCCATCAGTATGGGCTCTTAATGGGCCCGACATTTACACTAAATGGTCATTGGGTCCAACCATCTTGTGAAGGCCCAAGGACTATGGGCAGATGCAAGATTAGCCCATCAGGTATAACCCTCAATGGTCTTACACTTAAACCTCTCAGCTCATAATGATCAAACACTGCCCGACAAGATATGACCTCTCACTCGACTGCAAAGTACAGTGTTGCACTCTTTACTCACATGGATCTCGGGAATTAAAACATTTTGTGAAACCATAATATAAATATATATATATTATTTCTATATAAATATATTTTGCAAAACAAATCCCAACAATTTGAAATCAACTACTAGTAGTTTAGGTTTTCATCAGAGAGTGCATTCCCCGATCATTCACTTTGTCTGACAAAGGGGCTAATTCTGTCACTATGATCACCCACTCAGGTGAATTCTCAGACTGCCCCAACATACCTAGGTTTTGACCTGTTTAAAGATCTCATCGATTGGCATATCAAATACAGCCCAATCCGACACTTAGTGCAGTACCATAATCGAGTCTAGGGGTCAGGTGTAACATTTCGGTTTTGCCCATTTGTCCTCAAGGTCCAAGGCAATACTGGAATTTGGTCCAGTTCAGGGTTTCAAGAAAACCCACACTGCATGTACCTCAGGTCTCACCCTAGCAGTTAAGACAAGCCACCCCAATCCACTTGGCAGCACATCAGTGTCAGCCTTGGAAAGATAAATCTCCCTAGATCTATCCAACGACTGTGAAGATTCTAAACTAACACAAGTCTCATAAGTATCCAGTTTAAGGGTATTACATAGAAACACACCAAAATAACATGAATCAATTATGCACTTTATTCATTTACAATAAATGTCAATAAGTACAACATTCTGATTGGAGCTAAGGGCATAACTGTCTAACACCTAGTACATGTTGTCTCATGATCACTCACATTAGCATATTTGAGTATGAGGAAGTGGAGTGAACATTGGATGACTGGAGGACCAGGTACATCATTCTAATGAGTCCGGATCTCCTGCCCACGATTATCGCAGCCACACATGGAGAACATCTCATCCTCTGCATAGTATTATGCAGGGGGAGATGTTCCAAATTCACTGGGGGTAGTGTATTGTGGGTAGGCGTAGGCAGAGTTCTCGTGGCCAAGAGATCCGGACTCTATTCTGATTCCCTAACATATTCATGGTGTAAATGGTTCATATCCATTATCCGGAGACAAGAATTTTATATTCTTTGTTTGGTGGAGGCTGCATATTGACATCCTGTCTTCTAGAAAATTTTGGCCAGTAGCAGCAAGTATGACTCCCCTCTCTACTATCTCTGTATCATCCTACTGTTTTATCCTGGTTTTCATTTTTCCACACTTAAATGAGAAATATGTCATAAACTTGGATTATATTGTTGCAATATCACTCTTGGATTTATAATGGAACTAGATTGATCTACCAAATCGATGAGAAATTAAACCATCTTCCTATCTAGGGGATGGGTTAGTGGTTCAACCTTTCAAGTCAAATATGTTAACCCATGATGTATAATTAAAAATATATATTTTTTAAATAGAATAATACAAAAAATATGAAACAATTTTGGGCACATCTATAATATTATATACTAATAATATAAACAAAAAAAAGTATGATAAATAATAATTATTTTATCAATGATATAAATGAAATGCAAAATTTAAAACCAGTTTGAAAATGATACCATTTCCATATCTAGATGGTAGGTAGGTCAATGATCTAACATTATAGGTCAAATGGGTCAATCTATGATGTTATAACTAAGTAATGAATATTAAATAAATACATATATACATACATACATATAAACTCAAAGAAAAATATAAACTTCGTATAAAGCATTGTTATATATTCACTATATTAAACAAAAATAAATGTGAAAATAAGAATTATTTTTATTGATGATGAAAATGGAATACATGTTTTAAAATCGACCGAAAAAGCAAAAGTGGTTTTTCCATCCAAGAGATGGGTTAGTGGTTAAACTATCCATGCTAAATGGATGTTATTATTAAATAATAAAATACATAAAATTCTAAAAATTTGTCGATAATTTTGGGTACATTCTATAATATTATATATTCATCATATAAAAAAGTGTGATTAATTAAAATTATTTTCATTAATGAAAGAAATGAAATAAAAATTAGGACAGAAAATAAAGAGCATTACTGTCTAACGCATGACCCGACTAACAATGTCAAATGGTTCAATAATTTAATTAGCTAGGTCACTGTAGGTAAGTAGTTTGGTAGGGATGCAATATATTCAAATCTAATCTGATCCAAAGATTCGACCGGATCTCATAAATATTGATTCGAATCCGAATCCAAGATGTTAGATATTTGAATATGATATGAGCCTATTTAATTTTTTAAAAAAGTAATAAATTATTAAAAGAAAAAGAAAAATTAACAATTGAAATAAAAAACAAAAAAATATAAGTATTTTTTCAACTATTGTCATCATATAAAAAGTTTACAAAAATGCAATATAAATAACATATATATTATATATAAATAATATAAATACTATAATATAAATAAAAATATAGATTTTTTTATAAATTTTATACAAAAAATTGAACATACATTAATATATTATTCATATTAAACAAAAATATGTTTGAAAAAAATGAGAATTATTGTTAGTAAAGATAGAAATGGCTCAAGTACAAAGTAAAAAATGAATTAATGTCTTAATCATAGTCAAATTTTCTAGTTAAATAGGTTAATGATTCAACCAGGTCCTTTGGTTATTGATTATTATCATCCATTATTTGGTATTGTCACGTGCAAAAACAAATGTGGAAATAAGAATTACTTTTCTTGATGATGAAAATGTAAAACATGATTTAAAATCAACTGAAAAAGAAAAAAATGGTTTTTCCATCCAAGTGGTTCAACAATCGATGTCAAGTGGATCAACTAATGATGTTATTATTAAATAATAAAATACATAAAATTTTAGAAAATATAGAAATTTGTAGATAATTTTGGATATATTCTATACTATTATATATTCATCATATAAAAAAGTGTGATTAATGAGAATTATTTTCATTAATGATAGAAATGAGATAAAACCAGGATAAAAAATAAAGATTATTAATGTCTAACACGTGACCCCAGTAACCATGTCAAATGGTTCAATGATTTAATTAGCTAGGTCATTGTAGGCAAGTGGTTTGGTAGGGATGCAAACAGATCAGTGGTTTGGTAGGGATGCAAACAGTGGTTTGGTAGGCAAGTGATTGGATCTCATAAATATTGATCCAAATATGAACTCGATCAATATGTTGGATATCTGAATCTGATATGAACCAATTTAATTTAAAAATATAATAAATTATTAAAAGGAAAAGAAAATATAATAGTTGAAATAAAGAAAAACAAAAAATATAAGTATTTTTTCAACTATTTTCATCATATAAGAAGTTTACAAAAATGCAATATAAATAACACATTTATAAATAAATAATAAATAACATATATATTATATATAAATGATATATATATAAATAATTGATTTGACCACATTATTAAAAACCAATATTCAAACTATATTGGAATTGCATTTCTTCTTGGTAAATAAGTATTTTTTATCATCTCATAAATTAAATAATAAAAAATAAAAATATAGAATTTTTTTATAAATTTTATAAAAAATTTGAACACGCATTAATATTATATGTTCTTCATATTAAACAAAAATAAAATAAGAATTATTGTTAGTAAAGATAGAAATGGTTAAAATACAAAGAAAAAAATGAATTAATGTATTAATCATAGTCCATTTTCCTAGTTAAATAGGTTAATGGTCCAATGAGTAAGGTCATTTGCACGTGCATTCGCGTAACTTTTACTAGTTATCTCAAATATCCGAATACCAAAAGAAAAAAACAAGTTTTCTTTGCTGTATTAGAAGGATGGATGGTGGTCTAACATATTCAAGCCTGTCCCTGGCCTCCTAGATATTCCACTTAATTGAATGGAATTTCTAATTTGTTCCCTTTAACAGAAAAGGGAGAGAGAGACCATGGATATAATTCTTCAAAGTTATAATTGTTCTTTGTTATATACCTCTTTGGTAGGACTATTGAATAGTTAGTTGGTCATTCCAACTCCCAATCAAGTTTCCATTTAGTAGAGAGACATGGAATTGGCTAGTAGGGCCTCATGCATCCTTTTCTGTCCCCACCGCTATCCCTACTAACCTCTAACCAACTAGTTTACCATTCAAATAGCCAAAAAAATATAAAAAAAGCAAAACCCCCCAATTGAGTTTTCTTTGCCTTGATGGAATGATGGATGGTGGTCCACCATATTTTAGCCTGGCCTAGTCTCCAAGATTTTCTGCTTAATTGAATGGAACTACTAATGGTACCATAATGCTTCTCTTTTTCAAAACTAGTTCTGTCTTTTAGTTGGTGATTTTATTTCTTATTGATATTTTTACTGTCTTCTATACTATTAACATCTGAAGATATTTCTTCGAGCAGGGTTTTTAGGTTACAATCATGTAGTTGCTTGAAGTTCCTCTAATTGGATTGGGCAGTGGCCCTAATCAATGATTAAAATATCGATACAATATGCCCTGATATGCTCGATATGGGGCGTATCGCATTGGTATCAGACTGCACTGCTATCGGATACGCTACAACTACAGGTGTATCTTGCCAGTTGTTCATATCGGTTTGATACACCAATGTATTGGCGCGTATCACATTGTATCAGCTGATATGCGTCGATATGCTTCTGTATCGACTAGTCTTATAATAAAAAAAACGTGGGAAGCGTGACTCGAACCCAAGTTGGTGAATGCCCATTGCCCAAGCACGCATGTACATTAACCACAAAGCCATTTGTTATTTCATATTAATACATGTAATAAAATAACTTTTATTAAACTTAATGTTTGCATGCAAATAAAAAACAACATACATTTATTTTCAAAAACTTCAACTATAAAATTAAAAGAATAATATTCAAAAATAATATTTTCTAAATCAATAGTATAAATAATTTATAAAATCTACATATATATATATATCAAAAATGAAATTTAATTTAAAAAAATTATACAAATAAAATATTCATAATAGATTAATTATTTTAATACTAAAATTTTATAAATTTGCATATGGTATATATATATATATCTTAAATTTTCATAAATTATTAATTAATATTTTAATTTGCATTAAATAACAATGTATTTATTATTTACAAAAATAAAAGTATTGCTTACAAAGTATTTGAAAATATAATTTAAATTGAATCTATCAAATCCATTAATCTACATTTTATATAAAAAATAATTTTTAACTTCAAAGTTTTATAAAAATAAAATATTAATAATGGAATAATTGTTTTAGTAATTAAAATTTATGAATTTTCATATGATATGCATTTTCAAAATTTTAATAAATTTGATATATTTTAAGTTAAGATTATATATTTTTATAAATTATTAATTGATACTTTAATTTACATTTTATAATAACATATTTATTGTTTACACAAATATAAATATTATTTATCAAACATTTAAGAATTAATTTTTTGTTAATGTTAAAAAATAAAAATAGAAAAATAAAAAAAATGATATAATATTTCAAATATAATAGTTGTATATGCTTTATGCCTTACACTTTAATAGATAATAAAATAATATTGGATATTTGCATGTATTGATTTGTAAAAATCTATATAATATTTGCCTTGGACTCTTATCAATAAAATTGTATAATATGTACATGTCCTGTTATATTAATTATAATATATTTCTTCATATATATATCATTTAAATATGCAATTCCTCTATATTTATATATTTTTTATAGTGGTTTGACATTAAACTTGAAGTTATTAATATATTTATGAAATTTGTGTGTATTTTCTTAACGTATTCAAGCATTCCATGTTTTTTCATTTGAATCCATGCATTTTTCAAGCGTATCCGTATCCATTTGTATCCAAGTTTCCCAAACATATTCATACTTGCACTGACTGAAGCTGAGTTCATGCTTTCATCTTTGACTCTTTTCACATAGGGGTGGTTTGGTAATTCCATCTTCATGGACAGGTAAAAGTAGTGATGAGAGTATATCTTTCATAAGGTAAGATTAGCATTACTCTTCACATGTGCAATAGTGTTGTGTTGTTATGAAGTTGAGCTATAATACCTCAACTATCAAGGGAATCGACTCCTATAGTACCAAACTTCCAATGGGAGTAAAGCTCAATCAGCAAAAGCATCAGCCATGAGGTGGAAATAGATGGATGGCCTTCCAACTGCCAAGAATGTGGCAAAATCCAAGAGCAAATTCTACATATTTGTCAATGAGGACCATTTGTCAAATGAGAGACTTGTGTATCTTAGGTGGGTGGTTCACTGGCTAGATGCCATGCTTATTAGTTAGGTGGCGTTTGATAACACTTTTTAGACCTTTAAAGTCTGAAAATGTTGTTTTTTAGATGTTAGAGGTGTTTGGAAGTGTATATGAATTTGGGTATGAAAATCATTTTCAGATTTGAAATAATAAGACATGGGCTAGGCATTGAACGCGTTTAGATGCGTTTCAAATCTAGCCGAAAGTCCAAATACCCTTAAACTCTCGCCTCTCTCCTCTCTCTCTCTCACTCTCTCTCTCTCTCTCTCTATCTCCTTTCTTCTTCTTCTTTTCTCGGCGTCGCTACAACTCTTCTAGCAAACTAGCGGCGGCGAGTTCCGGCCTTCCCCCCCTTTCTCTCTCTCTCCTTTATTCTCTTTTCTCTCACTGCTACAACTCATCCGACGAACTAGAGGTGGTGAGTTCCGGCATTCTCTCTCTCTCTGTGTGTCCCCCTCCTTTCTTCTTTTTCTTCTTCTCTCACCACTGCCAGTGAACTAGCGGCGGCGAGTTCCAACCTTCTCTCTCTCTCTCTCTCTCTCTCTCCTTTCTTATTCTCTCGTAGCTGTAGCCGAATAGTCTAATTTAGGGGTAAAATAGTAAAATTAGTGAATTTCAGATGCTGAAGGTTTAATCCAACAAAAACAACCTTCTTTATTCAGAGATTCTAAAAAGTCAAAAAATAAAAATGTCTATTTTTAGATTTCAAACCCTTTTAATATCTTTTTAACTTTTAAGATTTTATATTTCGGATTTTATATTTCAGATTTATCAAACGCCACCTTAGTATTGTAGTTAAGGATTTGAGTTCCATCCATAAGAGAGATAGCTGGTCTGGATGGGTAAGTTGGAATAGAGGCATCTAAGATGTTACACGATTAGTTCTAATTTATCTATTACGCATACAACTTCTCATTTCTTCTTATTCAAAGAATATTTGTGGTTAAGCGGTAACTATTACGAATGCTTAATGTTCCAGACTCCAGGACTAGACCGGTTGTACAGTTGGGCCGGTCATGAGTCCAGGTTTGATTTTGGACCCTAAAACCATCCGGCCGGACTTTGGACTGGATGGTCCATTTGACTCGGGAACCAGTGGACGATGCAGTTCTGTTTCTGGTCAGGTTTTCAAAACCATGCTCCAGAGAAGCTAGCGGAGGTGTCAATCATGATATGACACGCTGCAATGATGATTTTGAAAACCGGCATGTCATGATTTTCAACTATAGGTTTTCAAAACCCTGTAGTTGGGCCATACCCATACATGTGGAGATGACATCATTGACGTGCTGCATATCACGACTGGCCCTGGCCCAGCGGACAATTTTAAGGCCCAAAGGGCTTGGGCCGTGTCACGAGGAACCTTTGTTTTCTTTGATGATGGCATTTCAACTCTGGGCCACTGGCCCAAATTTCAAGATTAAAGCCAAGTCTCACCATTCAACTATTTTCAACTGTTTGATTGACGAACACAACGTGGCCTTGAATAGTGAGCAGGAGATGCACGTGGCCTTGACCTCTCAAAGATTCAAGGGGTTTCAAACTTTCAATTGGATGGAGTGACAAAAGATGGGGCCGCAGTAAAGCATCCAGCGCTACTCCAACTGGAATAAGCTCATTTCTCCGGAAAACCTTTGTCCAATTTTGTGCTATTGAGAGCAATTTTGGCCCCTAACAGCCAAAGTTTTTTTCCCGCTCTGGTGGGGGCAGATGTGAATTCTGCTGATCCTGTGTAAAACAAAGATAGACTATATATCCTAGACTATGAAGCTGAGTAAGGGACATCTCATCCTTGGCCTAGCCGGTATATAGATACATAATTCATGCTATAAGGTCTTGGATAAAGAAGTAACTCGATATTCCTTTTTTGATAAATCTAAGTAACTCGATATTCAATTACGGGAATGCCCTCTTCTTTTATTTGTGTATATAGACAAGAGAAGAGACTATTTAAATTATAAAAGGCTGACGGAAGCGTCTGTTTGTGGCAAATTCAGTCCGCCTCCCAAATGCTAAATAAATTGAAGCTCAGAATCAGGAGACCAAGTAGGGGAGAAGCACCAGCAAGTTCTGGGAATTGATTGTTCAGCTCATAAAATTTCCAAATTCATTTCACATCTCATTCTTTTTTTTTTCCCTTTATCCTATGGATACTTACATGTAGAAGTAGAATAGTAGATAGGTAATGGCTTCTTCAGAGATCGAAGTTGTTTCAGACAGCAGGAACCAACAGAACTCAGCGAGTTCGAACTCAAACCTTAACGAAATCAACATAATTGACGTTTTCTCTGCATCTGCTTACGGTGATTTCGATAAATTGCGAAAGTTCGTCGAGCAAGATGGTTTCTCCGTCTCCAATCCTGACCGTAATGGTTATTATGCTCTACAATGGGCTTCTTTGAATAACTTTCCTGATATCGCGCACTATATTATCGAGGTTTAATCTCTCTCTCTCTCTCTCATGCGCGTATACACATTGTGGTGAATTTGTTCTAATTTACTTAAATTCCTTTTTCGTTCTAAAAGCATGGTGGCGATGTTAATGCTACCGATAATTCACAGCAGCCGGCTTTGCATTGGGCAGCAGTTCGGGGCTCAATTGCCGCAGCAGACGTGCTTTTGCAGAATGGAGCTCGCGTAGAGGCTGCTGACGTTAACGGCTATCGGGTAAATTTGTCTGAAGCTTTGAGAATATTAGATTATTCGAAAACTTATCCACTTGTTTTTTTTCTTCTTTCTTTGGTGTTAATCAATACGACTGAGAGAAAGCTGTACTGGAGCCTGTGTTCCGATTGTAGTGAGGGACGTAAAGAGGGAACAATGGGAAAGCATCTTAATAAGGAAATGATGCCAGTATACAGTCGATTATATTTTGTCAACAAGAAAATATTCTCCAACTGGTTCTGGTGACCTTGATAAACTCTTTTTCCTTTTTGTTTTAATTGTAGTTGAAGTGTATTGTGAAGACCAACTCAAACATCTGCATAGAATAGAGCTTAGAGGCGGTAACATTTGGATGAGCTTCCAGTAGCAGCTATATTGTTATGGGCAGCAAAAAGAATGCCAAAAGAAGTACTGCACTGGTTTAATAAAGGAACACTGATATAGTGAGTTTTCAATGTAATGCAGTTGAAGGTGAAAAATCTATAATGAAAAAAAAAACATTCAAGCTTTATAACAAAATTAGTATCTTCAAATGCAATCTTGAAATGCAGAAAATCAATATAGTAAAGAGAAATAAAACTAGAAGAGAACACAATGAATGCCAGAAGTGTCTAAGAAAGAGATGAGTACTACAAAGGAAAACACATAGCATATTGACACACAGACTGCCTTGAATACTGATCCTCCTTCAACATGAACCAAAACCTAAAACAGAATAAACCACTGGAGCTAAAGGAAACCAACCTACTAATTATCATCATAGGAATATAGGATGCCAAGTACCAACTGCCCCTCCTCACCAAGGTGCACTATCAACAAGAAAACAACTGCAACTCATGCAACCAAGAAAATATTAAAAGCCAACTCAACAATTAAATCAACCAAAAGACAATCCCCAGTCAATCTTCAATGGTGGCACTACCTGCTAAAATCCTAAAGCAACTGCACTCTGACTACAACCCCAACACCTTCCCGTGGTAGTTCCTCAAACCATGCTTACAGTTCTTCTTCCTGTACCCCTTCTATTCTTATTACTCATTTTGGCAATCATCTAATTCAAAGCACTCCAATTTTCACCCTCCACCTCAGTACAAAGATTGATTCACATACAAGTCACTAGATGTGTCCTGCTTTTGGGTTTGACATCTTGGTTGGTTTTAATAAACTTCCTGTTGGTAGACCTATTTATAAAGCATCTTATATGGACTTGTAGTTGTCAGCTGATGAATGACTTTTTCTTCTTTTTTATCTCCCTGTTTGCTGTTTTAGGTGGTTGGTATGGGTTTGGGGGGTGTTATCTTAACACCTGCCTTTATGTTGTATTTCTTTTTTACTTTTCGAAAAAAAAAAAAAAAGATCTCCGGACTTTGGAGAAGTTCTAGTGTTGATGTCAGGGTTGCTGATATGTTAATTGTTTTTTGATATGCCAAAGTTTCAGTTATTGGTTCCTTTGTCTCTGCTACAGGCAGTTCATGTTGCAGCTCAGTATGGGCAAACAGCTTTCCTAAACCACATCATCGTGAGGTATGGTGCTGAGTTTGACATGCCAGACAATGATGGGAGAAGTCCTCTTCATTGGTATGTGAAACTCTAGGTGATAAGTTTATTAATCTAAGCAGCCTTTCAATTGAGCATGGAATAGCATCTGAATTCCTTGTGTTCTAATTTTTTATGACTTCTACAGCACATGAAAATGGAATTTAGTTAATTGATTAATCACAAACTATGAAATTCACTATTTGATTCGTTGGCATTGAGCATATGAGTGGCCATGAAGCTTTTAACTCATCTCACTCCAAGCTTGAATGAGCTTTGGATGGCCATAAATGAAAATCATATTAAGATGAGAAAGGAAGGGAACCCCTTAAGCTCCACGGTCTGATCAGAAGAAGAGCTGCTGATAGCAAAGGAAAGAATCTTCAAATTAGATGCCTGGCTTTGCTAAGGCTTCTGTGTGAACCACATTTTCACATCCATCATTCTCTGGATAAATCTAAGACATTCCTAAATGAGTTAGAACTTAACAGTCCAATTCTTGATGCTACACGACTTTTAATGGTTATTTAAGTAATTGATTAATTTTATGTTAGAAATACAATGATATTTTATGAAATGATAAAAATTGCATACATATCCCACTTTATATTATTATCTTGTTCGAAACCATCAAACAAAGCCAAAAAACTGAGGTTAATACACAAAATAATACACTACAAAGTTGTCTTTCTTTAAGTTTTTAAACCACATAATAGGGCAAATTCAAGCAAAAATTAATCTCACAGAAAGTGGAAATGATTCTATAATTCAGTCAAGTATTCAGTTAGACAAACCAAAACTAAGGTTTAGCATCATGAACTGACCAAACTCAAAGTGGTCATTATTTCCATTAAGTGGCCAATAATATTGATACTCTGCATATCTACAATATTGGTTCCAATTCATCATGTTATAATTATCATCTTGTGTACTCTACATGTCATCAGTAGCTTTAGTTGTGGGAATATGTTGATTGATTCCAGATAGAAAGCCTAAAAACTCTTCCATATTTTAGCAAAGTTAAACCATAGATTCTCTAGCTGGAGTGACACAATACATATTTTTGCTCTTCATGAGCATAGGCGCATGCATAAATACACATAAACCCACCTCATTAGATTCTCTGAATGTTTAGAGCTTTTCAAATTTGGTGCTCTATTACTCCCACTCTGTACCAATTAACTTGTTCCAGAGGTCCTGACATGATGCTAGTTCAAGTTTGGAAGACTTATAGCTGACTAGGATTTATGGTTCCAGCATGACAAGAGTGGTGAATAATTAAAATAGCTTCATGTATCGAGCTACTTAAACAAGAAAATAGCGAGTGTTATGGAAAATAAAGGAGCTTGATTTAATTTTCTCTTAGACAAAATTTTTAGCTTTTTGTTTGGATATTTGGAACTTGGATTTCTTTGATTTTTTTTTTTGATAAGTAGCTTTTTTATCAATAATGATAGAATTGTAATACTCTGAACCAGGGCTGCTTATAAGGGCTATGCAGATACTGTGAGGTTGCTTTTGTTTAGAGATGCAAACCAAGGTAGACAAGATAAGGAAGGTATATTACTGAGGTTTATTATCCTCCTATATGTTCTGCTTTTTTGTCTGGGTGGTTTACAATCTTGTTTCTGTTCAACTACCATAAGCATTAGCAACTTATGACCATATGTTCCTTGTTGCTGATAGATAAAGCTATCCATCTAGTTTTAGATACTCACTTGCATCAGATAGTATCATGACCATACAAGAATACAAACAAGTAATTATATTGTTTAAATTCTTATATTGGCCATCGAGACAAAATGAAGAAGTTCAGATGGTTAACACAGCATATAATCTTGATTATACAATGGGTGGGGAGGGAGGCTAATGCTATGGCTGATTCATTAGCTAAGCAAGGGATAATTAGGGATCAATTGTAATTCTTGTGCTGTTTTTTTTTTTTCTTTATGAGTGAGGCTGCATCTCGTGCCTCCATCGAGGAAGCTTGTAACAGTTGCTTATATTTACTGATTTAATGAAATATTAAAGAACTTTTACTTATAAAAAAAAATCTTATATTGATCATCTCTTATTCCAGTCAATCATTTTGTTGATAGATGGCTAACCATTCATACATACAAATAATACAAGGACAGTACTATTGTTTTTTTTTTTTTTTTTTTTTTTTTTCTTTTGAAGCCAGTACTATTGTCTTTCGAAAGGCCTTTTCCATTAACATATTTCAATTGCATTTTGAAGTTATCAAATGGAAGAAGACCATTTCTTTGTAGTTTTTCTTATAAATAACCAGACATTTTATGCCAGTGATTTTAGATGATCTGAAAATATGTCTTCATAATGTATTATGGTATGTGTGCATGATGAATTATACAGGTGCATGGTACAACTTTGAAATCCTTAACACAGTAATGTTTGATGACCAGTTTAACTTCAACCAAGAATATGATATTTATTTGATGGTTTCAGATAGTGACTTTATTTTTGATAACTTTAGGTAGATACTAACTTTCTTTCCCTAATTATAAATTTATAACTCTTCTAAGTGCAAATCATAACATCCTTTCATGTCATATGGCTTTCTTTATAAGTAATCAAGAAAAAAAAAAAGAAACAAATAATGCACTGATTCCTCAGACAATCTGCACATGGCACAACACAACAATTTTGAATCTGCATCCTCTTGTTATTAAAGTGATTTATGGTTAGGGCATATCTGAAAATAGAAAGCTTCTGATGATAAACTCTACATAATTGGCATGATACTAACACCAAAAAAAAAACTGCTTTATAAATGTGACTATTCTTGGTTTTGTTTATCTATCATGCTAATCACATTACATCACTGGAAATTGTTATCATGTAGGTAGTTTGTTTTTCCCTGATTGGCAATATGTATTTGTGTATGTTTGCACCTATGAACATTGTAGAGAACACTGATGTGGGCCCCACTGCAGTGGTCCCCACTGTGTTCGTAGGACAACAGTGTAGTTATTTGTTTCAGTTATAGCAGTGTCAGTTTGAGTCAGTTTGTTAATTTAGTTGTTATTTATTTCAGCTTTTATTTACTTTATTTATTATGTAAGTACTAAGGG